GCGTGGATGCGCAGAAGGCAGAGGAGAGGAGAGCAGTGGAAATCTGTGGGCCGGACCTTGGGACAGAAGAGCCACCACTGCTAGCGAGGCCCCACCCTAGCTCTGGGGATAAAAGGCAGGGGGGGTGGAGATGAATAGACGTGGCAGACAACTATGCCTCTCCCTGCTGGATGGATTTGCTAGCCTGCTTGTGTGTGTGTGTGTGTGTGTGTGTGTCTTTTTTCTGGGGCTGCCGGAGCTCCGAATAAAGGAATCATTGATTTAACTGCAGAGGGTTTGTCGTGTTTGGGGAGCTGGGTCAGGACACCTACCTTCAACCCCGTCTTTTCATCATCGCTGCCGTTGTTGGTGGAGGGGGTTTCATCTCCCTGCCTGGAAATCAAGACAAAATCTTCGCTGTTGAGAGTCGAGACCGAATCTGAAGACACGCTGATTTTGCCCACCGAGGCCTTGTCATCCATTTCTTTTCTTTTCTTTTTGAAAAATAAGGGAAGGGTGGATCATAGGTGGCCTGCAGGAGGAAGGACCTGGAAAAGACGAAGAGCACAACGTCACCGTCATCCCTTTCTGGGTTGCTCTGAGGAGAGAAGGGAGGAAACTCGGGGGTTCCCCAATGCAGGCACAACCCAACAAAGTCCAATTCTAGATGTTTGCGGGTCTGGCGCCAATTTTGAGGGGTCCTTGGTGCTCTCTGAGCTTGGTGGCTTTCTTGCAGGCGTTTCATAACCAAACTACTGTAGATAACCTCATCGGTGCTCCAAGGGTTTATGGAGAAGAGGAGGAGGAGGAGGAGGAGGAGGAGGAGGAGGAGGAGGAAGAGGAGGAGGAGGAGGAGGAGGAAGGGAGGGAGAGAACTGTGTGGTGTTTGGTGCTCTCTGAGCTTGGCGGTTTTCTTGCAGACGTTTCGTTACCAAACTAGGTAACAACATCAGTGCTATTCATCATTGATGATGTTACCTACTTTAGGTAATGAAACATTTGCAAGAAAACCACCAAGCTCAGAGAGCATCAAGAACCCCATAGTCCTCCTCCTCCTCCTCCCACTCCCTGTAGCACTGATGATGTTACCTAGTTTGGGTAATGAAATGTCTGCAAGAAAACTACCACGCTCAGAGAGCACCAAGGACCCCCACACTCATCGTTGTACTCCTCTTCCTCCTCCCAATCTCACTTCCTTTAGCACTGATGACGTTACTTAGCTGGGTCATGAAACGTCTGCAAGAAAACTACCGAGCTCAGAGAGTACCGGGGACCCCCCGTGTCAACCCGAGAGCTACAAATACTCTTGGTACCAAAGGATTTTACAACTCAAAAGCAGAATCAGCCAGAGATGCTTTGTAAGAGTCTCTTGAAGTGACGGCGAAGACCTACCACAGCTAAAAAGAGCCCTCAGTGACAGCCACTAGTCTACCTTGGGGGCAAAAGCTCTTTTTAAAAATTCATTCTCCAGCAACGGGACCTTGGAATTAGGCAGAACTCCCGTAATAACCCTCTAATCTTATTTTTGTGAATTCCACACAATATTATACAGTGTAGAACAGGGGACTCCAACCGTGGCCACTTTGAGACTTGTAGACCTCAACTCCAAGCAAAGCTGGCTGAGGAATTCTGGGAATTGAAGTCCACAAGTCTTAAAGTGGCCAAGGCTGGAGACCCCCGGTGTAGAATTCCACATAACTGTCCCATGAATTGAGTGTGAATTCCACACAAATTACAAAAATTACCTTCGAAAGTGGTACTTCAAATCCTTTACAGGTAGTAGACTTATGACATTTCACTTAGCGTTCAAAGTTACAACGGGATTGAAAAAAGTGACCTGCGCTATGACCGTTTTTCACACTTCCAACAGCTGCAGCATCTCCCATGGTCATGGGATCAAAATTCAGCCGCTCCGGCAAATTGACTCATTATTTATGACGGTCGTTGTGTTGCCATCCCCTTCCGCAACCTTCTGAAGAGCCAAGTCAGCGGGGAAGCCAGATTCGCTTAACAACTGGGTGATTAACTTAACATTTTCAGTGATTCGCTTAACGAATGTGGCCGGAGACATCGTAAAACGGGACCCAAACTCACTGGACCAATGTTTTACTTAACGACGGAAAGGTTGGGCTCAATTGGCCGTAATCTTGGCTGCCAAATTCATTACAATTGAGCCCAGAATGTCACGCCCTTGTTGGAGTCTGATTCTGACGAGGAGATTGAGCAGCTGACAGGGAGTGGGAATGTGGCTCCGGTGGCTGTGGAGGAAACTGGGGAAGGGCACAGTCCGGCTGGGCATTCAGAGGAAGACCCAGGCCCACTCCTTCATCCCAGGGCACGCAGGGAAGAACGGAGAAGGGAGCAACGTGGCTTACGGGAGAGAAAAGGGCTCTGATCCCCTTCATGGGCTGCAGCTGGGAGAACAGGATATAAGAAGGGCGTTTGCACACAGCACCTTGCTGGAAGCAAAACGTGCATTATCTTTGTCCAGGCTTGTCCTCCCAACTATGGGTGCTACGTTATCTTGTGGAAATCTGCAATTTATTATCCTGGCCTGTCGTGTTAATTACTTCAGCTGTGGTTTGTATTGGTTTTTTTAAAATTTCTAATTTATCTTTACTTTGGGTTCGTTTCTGCCCTTCATAGAGTGTTTTTGGAAGAGTCTGATCTCCAGCCGAGGATAACTGAACATTGGGGGCCAAGTTGGATACGCACATGTTAGAAGTTGAAAGACTGGTTATGTAGAGAGGTGGGTATTCAGCATTGTCTGGGTCAATATACTTTATACACAATACTACTTCTACTAATATTATTTAGATACACATAACCAGTGGTGGGATTCAAATTTATTTTACTACCGGTTCCGTGGGCGTGGCTTGGTGGCCGTGACTTGGCTTGGTGGGCATGGCAGGAGAAGGTTATTGCAAAATCCCCCTTCCCTCCCCACCCCACTAACCTGCTTTCCAGCTCCGTTCTCCTATGCAGGACAACCAAAGGAGACCCAACGGATCAGCTGGGACTCAATGGGAGGCAGAGAAGAGATGGGGTTGGCGGGGCCAGTCAGAGGTGGGGTTTGCCGGTTCTCGGAACCACTCAAAATTTCCGCTACCGGTTCTCCAGAACTGGTCAGAACCTGCTGAATACCCACCTCTGTACATAACCAGCCTTTCAACTTCTAACATGTGCGTATCCATGGTAATTATAATCTATTCTATTATATATCAGTATTATATTATACTGTTTTCCCCATTTCTACTTTCTACCTGTTTCTTTTTCTACCTCTTAATAAAATAGCCACAATATTAAGAAGTATTCTCATTATCTGTCCATCCTATTTCTTGCCCTTTTTTAGAATTTCAACTCTTTTATTGACTTTTTGGTAAATCTTTCATGCTTCTCCCTTGGGATCTTGCAAAGTCCTTACAGCACCCTTATTTAACCTAAATTCAATTAGATTAGCGCCATTATAACTTCGAATGGTCGTGAAATCAACTCGAGACTACCTGAATCTCAAGAACTTTTCCAACTTGGGAAACCACCTGCTTAGCAGGATCTATCTATCTATCTATCTATCTATCTATCTATCTATCTATCTATC